TTGAACTCACACTTGCAAAAGAATTGTTTGCACTGTATCGAATCCGATCACAATTGAAATTTCCTCCACACCACGACGTACAGTTCGACGTACCATCGATCCTACACCATCCATACGCAAATCCTAGCCAGAGCTACAGAATCCCTCGCCCCATACCGATCATGTGTGTCATTCTTGATTTGCATTCATCCAACGACCGACATGAAAGCCAGTGTTGTCATTACTCTCACGACTAGTGCAATTGCCGCCAGACAATCGTACGAATCGCTCAGCAAGACCGACGTAGCCGCCCTCGAACATGAACTGGACAAGTGGAAGGCGTTGTATGGCCCCATTGCACAAGCCAACGGATTCCTCCCCCCAGTCACTGTGAACTCCGCACGAATCAACGGCCATTACGTCGAAGAACTCCAGCGCTTCCACGACACTGTCCAAGACGTCCAAGAAGCAGCTTTGGCCAACCCCGACGCTGTAACGGTAGCGAGCTTCACAGAGTAAATTGGAAAGTGATTAGATTGTCGTCTTAAACTACTAACTACGAAAATGTATACTATACTAAACTACATGAAGTAAATGTTCTTCCTCTACGGCTTCTTCAACGGCCTTGCCCCCTAATGGTGCGACAATCTTTAGCTTGTTAACAGTCTTGCCATCGTTCTCTTAACGATGCGACAAGCTGTATTCTTGGTCGGCAACCTTGCCATCATTGCATTCTCCCCCGGTTGTCGACTTGGCAGCTTGGATTCTTGTACACAGGTCTTCAAGCAATCGTTTGAAATGGGAGACATGCTTGATGCTGCGCTCAAGCTCCCAAGTTGTTTCGTGCTCGGGCTAACCATGCCATTTGACCAAGTACTCTTTCTTGCGATTGAACTGCCGTTGCTTCAACAGCGCTTCAACGATGTGCAGTTCATTCCCCGCATCATCGAGAACGATAGGAGTTGCTTTGGGTATTGGTCTTCCTTGAAATCGTTCTGGGTTTTGGACATGATGCTTCAAGCGATCTACATTGAAGACATCGTGAAGCCTGCTCATGCTTCGTGGCAGCTTCAACCGCATCGCATTGGCGTTCACAACTTCTTGTATCTTGAACGGCCCAATGAATCGTGGCACGAGCTTCGCCTTTTCATTCTTGTTTTTGACTTGAGCATGCTTCAACGGAATGTTACGCGTCGCCAGCATAACATAATCGCCTTCCTTGAACTCTACCAACGATCGCTTCTTGTCGTAGTAGTTCTTTTGTCGAGCTTGTGCTTTCTCGAGGTTGTCAAGTGCCATGCGCACGAGTTCCTTACGGTGTTCCGCGAAGTTCTTTGCATACTCGTTTAGTGCGTCGATCTCGTTCAGCGCTGGGTTACGTAATTTTCTTCCCGTATCCACTTCAAATGGTGTTAACCCTGTTGACGCTTGAACTAGGCTTTGATGTGCATATTCGATGGTTCCAAGATGTTCTGACCAGTCGTGACCCAAGTATGAGACTTGACATCTCAAAGCATCTTCGAGGGTCCGATTTTGTCGTTCGGTGGCTTTGCGCTCG